TGGTCTTTATCTCGTCGGTGTCGCATTGGTTAACGCTCACCAATCTACATTATTGCCATAGCAGTGTAAGAATCTATACACTATGGTGCTAGTACGATTTATTATTTAAATCCCGTCCTTGTCAGTGTCACTATTAATAACTGTGCGAGGCTGTTGAATAGAACCATAGCTTTCAAATAACGTATTCATCAACAATCACCTTCTTACAGATAGGTCACTTATCTGTCAATATTTCATAAGAATATATTTATAGACGAGCTCATTTGAAGAACCAATGATAGACAATTCGAACAACACTGCACCTTTTACCCAAACGCGAATGAAATTAATGGAAAATATTGGAATTGACAAATGTTTGTTCGGACCTCGTAATTGAAGAAAATATTTCGTGTCCAATTGGAAGTGTCACTTGCGGACATAAAGTGTAGGCGACAGTATAAATGTGTTCGGATAATTGAAAACGAAACACCTGGTAACATTCCCAAAAGTAAGATTTACTATTTCAGTACAATATTATTATTGTATTACGAGAATCTTTCGGCGTGAAATATCTTATACGGTGATCGTGGTCTTTTCGCGTAAAAACGCAATAAATAATCTTCAGACGGCAAAGGACCACAGCTGGACTAAGACCTCCCCGAAAAATCGTGAAACGACTATCGGTTGCAGTCCTCATCGAATGCTTTCCGGCAATCCTATCCAGATCGTCGGTCCATGTTTATGGGAAGCCTGCCTACGCTCTGTTTTCTGATCCATGGTTGTCACTCGAAAACTGTACTGCCCTACGGATAGCTCTTGGGATCATTTCCCCTATGAGCTATGTGTACTATCTATTGCCACTTCGAGCTCGTAATTTTCCGAGCTCTATCGGTCACCTTGATTCATCTGAGAATCCCATTTCCTATTCGATCGCGCAAAGTAACTTCGAGCAAAGCTCTCTCCATCGCCTTCGAATGTCTTTCAGTCTATTTAAGGGATTCACGGTAAAATACTAAAGTAATATCTATAAGGAAAACATCATAAATGAAAGCCGACATAATGTAAATAAAAATCAACATAGTGTATATAATGGTTGTTCTGCCCCTGTCTCTCCGTCTGATAGCCTTTTAACTTCACCTAAACCATTCAATGGATTTCGACGCGGTTATCTCGGTTGAGCCAGGATCATGAGGATAAACCTTATCACCCGTGCAAAACATGCACGAGCCACTAGTGTAAGTATTTAAAATAAACCCTCCCTCATGTCATTATGTTTGGAAATTATTACCTCAAAACTGAGGAACGGATTTTGATGTGGTTTTTACAGTTCACGAGGAACATTTAGATTTATAAATACCTTGTGGCCCGCCCCGGCTACGCTCGACATCGAAATTTTCATACGGATCCCTAAAGTTTTTGAAAATATTCTATCACCTTTGTTCATCAGTGACAATGTAATGTGTTATTTGCTTATCACCCGTATAATCTGACGGAATATGCGTCTCGTACGTCTCTACGTTCACGTAAAGTCCTAAAAAAATATATACAAATGATATGAAATTCAACCAGTGCACAAATTCTTTACTCTTTACAAAGGTTTAGAGTAGGTATCGTTATAATAGCATATTTGCAAAGAATGAAATAATCTTCTTATTTTCAATGCAAAAATATTTTATTTGCATTTTATAATAAACAAAACAAGACCTAAAAATAAAATTAAAAAAACAAATAAATACATAAACTGGCGTTAATTGATTATAGCGTGTTATAAGTTATCAAAATTGAAAAAAATCTAATATATCAAACGGATGACACTTAGTAGAGCTTTATTAAATTTAATGAGTTTGTATTCAATATTTATTTGTGGCCTCTTTATTCAGTGTATAAAAACAAGTGTAACAGTGTATAAAAATAATAATAAACAATGTTTAAATTTATATAACAAAATATAAAATTATTGAAATTATTTAATAGTTAAGCCCTTTAAAGTGATTTTAACCAAGCTTGAATATTTCATAACGAAAAGATTTCAATCTTATATGTTAGTGAGCGCAAAACTTTTCAATATGTTTGAGTTTATTTTAAATATTAATAATATTCCACTGTATAGAGATCATTCCACAAAAATCGGGCGATTATGATCTTTGCCCTGAGTATTTTTGTGATGAAATTTATTGATGCATGATATATTATTAATTACTAACACCATACCAAAAATGGTTAGACACTGGAAGCAGTATTATAGACAAAAAACATTGTGTTTTGTAAATTTAAGTTTCTAGGGAAGAAAAGATGAAATAAGAACCAAGGTTTGTATTATATATTTTTAAGGTTTTCTAGCAAAACTTATGACATTGAAAACATAAATAAAGTGTTTTCTTATATCAGCTAACCGCCACGAGTAATTTTTTAATCCTATCATTTTTTGATTTGTGACGTTGGTAAATAAAAATTAAATTTACTCATACCTATCTGAACCTAATATGTCTCCGTAGCACAAAACATTACGAAACAAAATTTACCACAAGTTTCATGTTGACGAATAGAACAGACATTAATTATTTCAACAATTACTAACACATGCGCACAAACAAAAAATAAAAATTCAGCCAGTCGTGCACGCAACAGATTTAAGATAAGGATAACACTGCTTTTAGTGTAAAATATTGTGCTGTTCCACTAGCACAATTCTCGGCCGATTTATTTCAGTTACCACGAAAGTGGTGAACGAGGTAGGAACTACTCGAAGTTACGACTCGAATGGAAGGGGAAGTTTCAATATTATTTATTATAAGTCGAACAAATATGTTAAACCCTAAAAGAGGGAAATTGCAAAGATAAATAGAGCCTTAAGATGGCAATAGCACGTGAAAAAATATTTTTGCTTCCTAATTAATCACAAATAAATAGTAAGTAACACATTTATCTATTTATACTAAAAAAACCGATCTATTTACAGAATTTCGAAAAAAAATTAGAACTTCATTGCTTCAACCTTGTTATTTTTTTTCTTTAGAGAATAACGTTTTGATTATGATAAAACCCTTAAGAAATATATTGTTGTTCTTTTTTTAATTTAAAAACCAACTGAAAGATACATATTTTTGGCAATAAATGTTTATAAAAGATTTTTTTTTGCTGTTTATATGTAAGTTTTTAATTACAAATAATGGGTTTGCTTATTCTCGTCTTGTCCTCTGTGGATGACAATAACAACATGCAGATACTGTAATAATTAAAATGAAATACACTTAACAGTATGATAATAAAAGGATAACGCAAATAATATTTCAAAGAATACAAAATTACGAAAAAAACATTTATTCAAAATAACCTGCACAAACAACTGTCTATCATTTTATTGACCTAATACGAGTATTATGGTGGAACTCATTAATAGATGGCGCCGGTATTCTAGTTCGGTAATTTTATTACATTTATGAATGAAAATGAAAATATATTTATGATTACAGCATTATGTTTTGCGCTCATAGATCAATGCTCTTCATTCCACATTGAAGAATCAATAGTATTTTAATTACATTTTATAATAAACAGCGGGAGATCAGATATTTCGGATACTCCTTTAGCATGGTCGACCGTCATACATGATTTCTGAATTGAATATTTAAAGTTAAAAGTTAGAAGTTGTCACCTAAATAGTTTTCAGTTTCTGATATTAGTTTTTTTCTTAATTATCAGTTGATAGCAATTTTATAAACTGCTATCAACTGGAAATTTTGCCTTGTGAAAAGTAAATTGTTGAGAATAATCAGATGAGATTTTGTACGAAACGAACGTATTTTATTGTTTTCATCAATACATATACATTGTTTTAAAATAACGTTATATTTTTTTATCCATATTTCTAGTATATTTCAGTTTTAAAACATTATGTTTATCTAAATTTAACATTTAGTAATTATATTTTAATTTATTCAACTTAATTTGATTGGGGCGGGCCGGGCCTTCTTAAATTTTGTCTTTTATGTGATAAACGACTTAGTTAAATTGTGGATAATCGTATCAAGTATTTTGTAGTAACTTAAAATCTAATTACTACAAATCCCCAGCAAATTAAACGTTTTCAATCCCGTTCGGAATATAATACTTGTATCAATTTTAAACTTATGTTGGTCATTTGATAAGTGGTATTACGTTTTATCATTAGCTTTTGGTCCTAGAAACTGTATATGGCCTGAACTCAATCGATGCCCTTTTACAAAATCCACATCGACGATTAAGTTCATATATTATTAGATATAACGAGTTTATCATGTAACCAAACGCAATTTACAACCATATCATACACAAAATAATGTATTATGTTATAGAATGAAAAATAAACTGTAGTTAGAATTACATTACATTGTACGTGTTTATGCGGCATTTGTTACAGCATCCATTTCCAGTATCAAAGCTGATATGATCAACAGTTACTATATATCAGAATTCCTTTGTACAGTTACACGACAAATAAACCACAGACCTCAAGACATGCGCAGTAAGAAAAAGAAATAAATCACGTGCGAAAGAGGCTTCCATTGCCACAAATGTTTCACCACATTTTTAGCTCTTGTTAATCATTGAACCAATTTATATTCATATAATGAGAAAACTATATATAGTTAAATAATGTTATTTACTTTATCATAATCAACGTAGCGGCATCTGATAGCCCGACAAACACCTATATCGATGAATCCCCGTAGTTTACGGTTTTATCATCTAACTTTAGAAATATAAACCAGATGGCCGGCTAACATTCAATAGAAATATTCGAACACATATTCCATCCGTACTATACGAAATATTTAAAGATATTTAAGATTAATACTCATTATCATATAATTATATTATCGTTATGAAACAAGTAGTTTCCGACGAGCGTAGAACGTTCATAAATTAGTATGAATAAATATTAATACATTCGCTAGATTCGCTTCTGACAGGTAGTTAAAAATAAAATAAAATATATGTATATTCGAAAAGTTGCGCGAGTACACTAAATTCGGACTTACCTAAGTTTTCGCTGCACGAGATCGATCAAATAAAGCGGCAACGAGCCTGTATCGCTCCCTCAGGTTTAGTTGTAGATGCGTAGGTCGCGTTAACAATCAGCTTCGTTGGACATCGCGCGGATCAAATAAGTAACACGGCGCGTAAACAGGGCAGCAGGGCCGGCGCCGACGGCGAACACTGGACGAATATCCCGTGAGAACGTTGTGCTCGAGCGGGCACACGAAACGCTCAGATCGATACCGACTGCCGCGCTCTCCCTTTCGAGTGCTCGACCAACTGGGGCCTGACTAACGGCACGGACTGTAGGGGCGCACTGACTCGTCTACGACACCGATCGCATCGGCAAATATCCCGACCGTGATGATTAGCCGAATGTCCGCTACTTCGTGAAACGCATCATTTTAAATCGTGACGTAGTGTAGTGGGGACGCATGAGGATAGAGCGGAGCATGCGCGCAAGGAGTTAGGCGCGGCGACGCAAAACGTTCCGCGGCGGAGGTTTAGAAGTGCCAACGGCGGGAGCCAGGAACAAAGCGGAGCAACGTCACACGCTCCGCAAGCTTGATGGGCCGCAACGAAGCTCCGGTCCGCTCGCGACCTTACCACGCGCTCAAGACGCACGCAATACCATCGATCATCGACACGCACGTTGCGACCTCCACACTGCTTAACCAACCTACTTTGCATATTGATTCTGTATTTCCCTAAGACCTTAGATTTACAAATTAACAGAAGAATTGAGCTGAATTTTAACAACCGTCACCTATCTCCTGTTAGTAATCTTGACGATCCTTAAGATGCCTTTATATTTGGACCATATACAACTTTGTAATGAAACACTACAAAATCTGAATATCAGATAATCTGAGGAAGATTATTATGATACTTGTAAATGATGTTATTATATTATGAATAGGCAGTTGGACGAGGGTCGTGTAATTCGATTGACTATTTATCAACCACAAATACTACCACGCATATGATTATTAATATACCCAGTACGACATCTTACACAAATCACAATAAAATGTTAGAATCTTACAATACCAATAATTTTTCTTAATCTACGTGTTGAGTTATAGGTAATATGTGAACCAAAGACCTTAAAGATTTTTTGGGACTTTAATCTATTAGTATTTGATATTTGGACGAAACCTAGATTTACGTAAAAAAATTTTTTTTTATTTTTATAAAACTAACTGATCGAGTTAGGCAACTACGTCGTTTATGTCACGAAGTAGTAGATGTACCATCGCTTGTGGTATAGCAATAAAACTAAACTATAGCAATAAAATAGCAATCTTAAAAGCCGCATGAAGTTTCGTAATATAACTATTTAGAAGTTTTTTTATTTACGCTCATGCTACTCTGCTGTTGATCTGCATGGAGTTGCTGAGTGGCAATTGCACTTTTACTTCCAATAGTATAAAAGATATTTCAAACGATTTTAACAAGTTCGATTCTCTATGCTTAGCTCATTAGGGATCTGACGTGAAAATAAAGCTAAGACTTTAATAAAAAAAGAGTTCATCCGAATTAATTTCATTCGACATATATTTTTATAAGTTCCAACTGAGCTGTTTTACCAGAACATGTCCTGATTTTGATAGTGTTCTGGGATATCTGGATAGTATTTAAGTAACATCCAAACATTTTTCATACTTCTAAAGCATTTAGTTTATTTTCTTTTTTAAATTAAATGTTTATAACTATATAATACCTCGCTCGATTCTTGCTTTTCTTCTTCTGTGATCCTTTCAATACTTTGAACGCGGTAGCGGCCAAACCAGGCTTCGCGCGTCGACGTTTAAATGTAATTAACTCTCAATCAGCATACTTTCATACTTCATTAATTTTCCACAATTCTATAATGAATTATACACCTAAACCACCGCACGAATTGCAGGAAACCGCATGAAAATTTGCGTTGTGTTTTCTGAATTTATCGCATTCAGTGCAAGAAAAGTTGTGACTTGATTTAGAACCATTTCATAGGCGAAATATATAACAATCGCGCACTTAACTAAAAACTGATCTTAATTTGGTTTTAACTATAGCCACAATTATAATAGATTTGATTGTTTGTTTGCGTTGAATAGACTTCAAAATTACGAAAATTCTTTAACCTACGGGAAGCTAGTCTAAATAATATGCGGGTAACATACATAGGCTATAATGTACGCGGGCGAAGATCTTCGTTCCATTTTTTTACAAGCTTCTATACATCTGATATACTTCGTCCAATCTTGCAACTATTTTCAAAATTGTTCATACAAGTTGAGTTCAGATGTCAACGCATGCTTAACGACGTAAGTTAAATAATCTAAATATATCGTATATAAATCAAAGGTGACTGACTGACATAGTGATCTATTAACGTACAGCCCAAACTACTGGACGGATGTGGCTGAAATTTGGCATGCAGGTAGATGTTATGACGTAGGCATCCGCTAAGAAAGGATTTTGATCAATTCTAGCCCAAGGGGATAAAATAGGGGATGAATGTTTGTTTGAAACTTTGTCAATTTTTAAGCGATCGGACTGAGACTTTGCATGCATAAAGCTACTATGACGTTGGCATCCCCTTAGAAAGGATTTTGATCAATTCTATCCTCAAGGTTATAAAATAGGGTATGAAAGTTTGTTAATTTTAAACCGATCAGGCTGAGATTTTGCATGCATAAAACCACTATGACGTAGGCATCCCCTAAAAATGAGTTTTGATAAGTTTCACTTCTAAAGGGATAAAATAGGGGATAAAACTTTATTTCAAGTATTTTACACGATACAATGAATAAATATTCGTTAGAAATGCTGCTCAAAGTAACTTTAGGTACCACGCTAGCTAGTTATGATATAATATAATAATATATAATAATAAAATATTACGTACCGTTTTCAAAATTAATTTATTTATATATTATAATTATGTGGTGTAGTTTGATTATGAAATTTAATAATAGTAATATTATGTAAAATGTATTATTATCAATACTAATATTATAAAGTGGAAGGATTGAATTGTTTGTTTGTTTACATCTAATAATAGGCTCCGAAACTACTGCACCGAATTAAAAAAAAATATTTCACCTACGGGTAGCTATATCATACGAGGTTGACATAATGTAGCTTATTTTCGCGTGCGAAGTCGCGGGAAAATAGCTAATGTATGATATATAAATTACGCATTGGGTAAACTGATATCCTTTACTTTTGTTGATCACATTCATTACGGGAGACGCAGTTTAATATAATTTTGTTCATAGAAATTAATAACTTAAAACTATGCACAAATTTCATGAAAATATTACCGTAAATAAGCAATCTTGTTAGAAAATTTCACCAATTAGGTATTATGATGGACTGATGAAAGCACTTTTGTTTAGCTGTCTGAGAGAAATTCATAATTTTCTACGCCGTATTATTTTCAATTTGACTTCAATTAGAAACTCAATGTGTAACAAGATCTTTATTATGATCTGATTTTGTAATTAGTATTGTAAATAGAATACATGTGATCTGCATACTCTACAGCGTAATGCTATTTGTTCGCACACAAGTTCGTGACGTGCATACTATAAGAGGGTCATGTTTATTTGTTATCAATCTAATTTTCGCAATTAGCAACTACTATATGGGCTTTCAATGACATATATCTCTAGTCGTATACATATATCTCTAGTTTCTAATCATGTTTTTTACTGTGTACTTTGTGGCATGTAGTTCGACATGTATGTATTATGTGTATACTGATTTCATTCATACCGTACTTACTAAAAGTGTCAAATTTCTCTATTTTAATTTTTAACCTTAAACTTTCAAAAAGTAAGTTTCAAATTGATTTATGATCACCTGATGTGTTTGTGCAAATGTACAAACATATTCATTAATGACATTTGCGGGATAAAACACGTGTATGGTTAAATGTGATCACAAAGGGCATGTGTAATTAAATTATATACGCTGTTGAATATCGATTGACATAAATGAGACGTCGCTGAAAGAATTTTTAAAATAACTCCAGTACAAATGTTCCCTCTTTATAATATTAGAATAGATACGTATACGATATTTTGAGGCACTTTAACTGTAAACATGCTGTCATATTTTCAATTTCTATTAAATTAAATATGCAAATTTCATTACTCTCGGAGTGTATGCTAATACAAAACTAACTTTCTATAATCCGAGTGAATAATATGTCTAGAATAAAGTGCCTTTGGACTAATAAATATAGGCACAACGTCACGTTCCTCTATACTACTGAATTCTAGTTTGAATTTCGTTTCGATGATTAAATTGTGCAGACGCCGTCAACGCGGAAATGGAATGAGACTAGGCATAACATCTTATGCTGATATCCTAAACGGAACACGTTCAACTCTCTTACGTAATACTCTGTGGAAGTTAGAAGAACGCCTATAATATTGCTGCAGGCTTACTTCGCTTACACATCGCTTTGAGGTAAAGTTTGCGTGTCCCAAAGTTTGTCGCCTCATCATCAAATTGGGCTAATATAACCTCGCGATCGAATCTACTACTTCCACTTTATCGACTTGGTTGATTAGAAACCAATTTTCCGCTTTGGTCTCCAATGTCCATGAAGAACTTTTAATTTATTATTTTCATCCATCCATCTTTATCATAGAATCCTTATCTGACATGTGATATAATTTATAAGAATAAATGTAAAAGAAGTAAGCAATCTATGATGTAATAAATGAGAAGGTAATAAAGAAAATAATTGGATGTAAAGATTCACATCTAAAATACTAAAATTAACTTCATAACGGGAAGTTCTAGTACAAAAGATATAAAAATCGTCGACGAAAACGATAAGAAGTAAACAATAAAAGTCCAGATTTGGTATAGTAAAATACAGTATCGAACAAAGGGCTGTCGCACATTAGAGGTTCACTTAAATAAAAACTTTGAATATATACCTATCTATATTATCAAATCTTACAAGTAGGTTTTATTTTATTTAAAAATTATAAATGTAGTGCCTGCATTGTCTTTGACGCTGCATTCAACGTTCTATATTTAATAGAATAGCACTGCTGATTGTGAATGGGAATGGCTATTATTAAAATGGCAATTGGCGTGTTTAAATAGTGTTCTGTCTACATTATTAATTTTTTAGCATTCAAAATTAGCAAGTTTGCAAGAAAAAGCAACAGCTGAAGCTTTAATTTTTAGTTATTTACTGATATGGAAAAACGATCTTTGCATATCTTCCCCTAGGATTGATTTTCCTCAATAGAATAGCACTGCTGATTGTGAATGGGAAAGCCTATTATTAAAATAGTAATTGCCGTGTTGAAATAGTATTCTGTCTATGTATTTAATTTCATGGCGTTCAATATTTGCAAGT